AATATACCTATATTTCTATACGTATATATTTTTATTTTTATTTTTCATATGTACATTATTGGACATGTAATTTACTTTCTTATTTTTTGTTTGCAATTTTAGGGGGCGATATGTTAGAGGGAATGACAACTAAAAGAAATGGGGTGATTGATATGCTATTAATAGGGAGTTTTAATTACAATTATAGCAGTTAATGAAATGCTTGGAATAAATTATATATAAAATATGAAGTATGATGGCAAGGATGTAAAAACAGAGGAATACTACGACCTCTTATATCTTACTGGTCATTTAAATTTGAAATTGGGTTTTACACATAGATTTATAGAATGATGGGTATATGTCTAGAAAATATTAATTGTAGGGACCTATATTGGACAAGCCCTAAATTCAACCTCGGCACTCCCATCCTCCAACACATCAAGCAATGTATCAAGAAAATCCTTGACTTCCTCCTCCTCTTCCATCTGTTCCTTCTTTCTCAGCTCTTCTCGTTCTCTAATTACCTTCTCCACCAACACATCAAACCTCCTGTGCGTCTCCTCAATTCTCTTCACAAACCCTCCCAAATCTAACTTCTTACAAACCCAAAAAAAATCACACAAACTCACCTCTCCCAAAAGCCTCGTGGCCTGCCGCACCACCACCACCACCTCCTCCGCCAGCACCGCCCTACATTCGGCGCTCAAACCCCGATTCCCAACAATCATCTGCAAGATCACATTGTTCCAAAGCTTCGGAAACTCGTCAGTGAGATTCACAGCTTCACCACTCTCAGCTTTCTTGGCCAAGAACCTCAGAAGCCTAAGATACTCTTGAGTTCGAATGGAAACTAAGTTGTTGATGCTACGGTTTCCTAGAAGCTCGTTCATTGTCAGTTTCTTGATGAACTTCCAGTAAGGTCCATAGGGTGCAAATGCAAGGGAAGCATTGTAGGTTATGCTTTCAACGGCGAGGGACTGAGCATGGGATATGAAGGAGAGCTCATGGGTGCTGAGGAACTCTTTCACTAGGTCCGGTGAGGAAACGACGACGCATTGGAGCGAGCCGAGGCGGAGGGAGAATAAGGGGCCGTAGCGGAGAGAGAGGTTGTGGAAGGTGCGGTGGATGAGAGGGCCGAGGAGGTGGTAGTGGCCTATGATGGGTAGAGCAAAGGGGCTTGGAGGGAGGTGAAGGTGGGTTTTGAATATTTTGGAGGTTAGGGTTGTTAGTACTTTGTTTTAATTAATTTTGCACCAATTAGAATGTTACATTGCATTTTACAAATCCAA